CCCCCCCCCCCCTTCCCCCCCACCGGACTGTTCTCCTTTTCTTGAACAATCTCCTTTCAGAACTGATTCAAAATAGAGCTCTCGTCTTTTATAGTGTAACTTGAAGAAGCTGTCAATACTATTAAAATAGCTATGGCCAGGTATTTCATGTCGCTTTGACTTTGAATTGCTGTTGAACCTAGATAGATATTCCTTATTGTAGAAAAATTCTTCGCCAGGCTTTTCTGAAACAATTGCTTTAAGAAAACCTTCTGCAACTCGCCATGACTAGAATTTTTCATCATTCGGTCATTCTCTAAATCTTCTAACCCTTTTGCTGACATTTTCTTTTAATCTTCTTCCCCGAGGCCATTATGCATGGTACTGTTCATATTCCTCCCATTTCAGGCTTCCTCCATCGACCAATATTCGTTGCACGATGAACTCTGGCTTGTCAGTCAGAATTGCGAAGCAAAGCAATCTCACCCCTACACCTGGACCTCCATCTGTGAGTTCCAAAATGCAGGGTTTGACTGGAGCTAACTTAAATTCTGATATCTTCTTTAATATGGTATTGTTAGTTATCAATTCCTCAAACACTTTCCACAAACTTCCTCCGGAATTTCTTTCTAGATGAGTAATAGCATTTTCAAGGGACTCTTCAGTAAAAGTTGACATGCCATCGATGAGCTCATTGGCCTTGCGATTTCTGCTCGGTCTACATCATCTTTCATTTCTGTTTTCCATGCATCGCTTGCTTTTGATAAAGCATTAAATAAATGTTCATTCGTTTGTTGATCTCATAGTGTTTGAACCGGCAGCTTTCTTTATCTGTTACACAACTGACATCCTCTTTCACTGTTGTCTGAATGAAACAAGAACATTGTCTTTAACTTTAGCACAAAGACTATGGAATGGAAGTGAATATTTTTCAAAACTATCAGAGCCAACCTCTTAAAAGTGTGGGTTTTCATGTCTTGACCTCATGTAATCAGACGCCCAGGTGGTACTATCACCTGGAACAAAAAACTTAGGGCGAACAACTACAAACGTCTGGTAGGCAGCTCTTCCTTGTCTCTGACAAATTCTCCCTCCTTCTCAAGGAAACGGTGTGTAGCAGGAGTGTTATGTCCGAGAAGTTGAAAAGCGTATGCTGACGTTGAATGTCATGAGAGATGTGTTGTAAGAATTGTCAAGATATATATTTGGCAATGTCCTAAGGGATCTCTGGATATAAATGCTTTCTACTTGAAGTCATTGCAAAAATACGAAAGTAAGAATGTTTGATTTTCTACTGTCCCTTTGGGTCATAATAAACTCAATTCCATGGTCAAAACGATGGCATGGCTAAAGCTGGAATTAAGGGATATTTTACTAATTACTCTTTGCGAGCAACAGCGTCGGAGTGTCGAGATTAATGGGTCAAAAAGATGTAGACGACAAGTTGATTCGGGGAGTTACTGCATGGCATCGATCGGAAGCCCTTCATGGTTACAAACGAGAAATTAACGAACAACTGCTTAAAGTTTCCAAAATCAGCAGTGTAAGGCCAGTCCAATGAAACAACAACCAGTACGGTGCGGGCCCATAAGGCTCACATGGGGTAGTCCAATGGCTACCCGAACTTTTAGAGAGAAAAACACAACAACAAAGCCGATTCTATCTTTCGAATAAATTTTTAAATGTCCTTATTGACCTAAATAACTGAGAAAGAGCTAGAGCGAGAGATAAAAAAACAAAGGAGACCAATTACATTGGAAGAAGAACATGGAAATTTTATAGCGGCGGGTCAGAAAATGAGAAATGCTAACAGGCGGTCACAAATTAAAGTCGAAAACGTGGTCTTTCGACTATCAAATGTCTAAACGTAGTATCGATGTTAATTAAAGACAAGGACATCACATCATACAAATTGTTGTTAATAAAGCAAGATCGTGTGCTTGTAAATTATTGTTAAAGTACTTGCTTCTTTGACTAGTGAATCTGGAATGTTTTTTTTCGAAAAAAATTGGTCGGTCGAGCGATGGGAAACGAAACATTTTATTGGGATGGCCTAGTTACGAAGCCACTTCGGGACCTCCGACTGCAACTTTGTAACGTTCCTGAGCTCCGCGAATCCTTAACTTCGTGCTCCGCCGAAGTAAGATTAACGGTTTTTTTTATGGACTGTGTGAGGGGAGGAACCGGGGTTGTCTACCATTTCTAAAGAAAATTCCGGAAATTTTGGTTGGGAATTTTCGTTCCGTAAGAACGGTATGTGTCCATTACCATTTGCCTAAAATTTCCGGATTGTCGCGCCGCGCTAGACTGGATTCTAGTTACAACATGAAACTACAGACTCCCGATAACTCGAACCTTCAAGGGAAATCGAAAAAAGTTCGATTTATCGGGAGCTCGAAGAAAATAGCTGGGAGTAAGGAAAAAACAGTTTTTTACTGCACAGTGAACATTTTAATCACCTTTAATTGTAGAAATGTCAANAACAACAAAGCCGATTCTATCTTTCGAATAAATTTTTAAATGTCCTTATTGACCTAAATAACTGAGAAAGAGCTAGAGCGAGAGATAAAAAAACAAAGGAGACCAATTACATTGGAAGAAGAACATGGAAATTTTATAGCGGCGGGTCAGAAAATGAGAAATGCTAACAGGCGGTCACAAATTAAAGTCGAAAACGTGGTCTTTCGACTATCAAATGTCTAAACGTAGTATCGATGTTAATTAAAGACAAGGACATCACATCATACAAATTGTTGTTAATAAAGCAAGATCGTGTGCTTGTAAATTATTGTTAAAGTACTTGCTTCTTTGACTAGTGAATCTGGAATGTTTTTTTTCGAAAAAAATTGGTCGGTCGAGCGATGGGAAACGAAACATTTTATTGGGATGGCCTAGTTACGAAGCCACTTCGGGACCTCCGACTGCAACTTTGTAACGTTCCTTAGCTCCGCGAATCCTTAACTTCGTGCTCCGCCGAAGTAAGATTAACGGTTTTTTTTATGGACTGTGTGAGGGGAGGAACCGGGGTTGTCTACCATTTAAGGAAAGAACAGTTTTTTACTGCACAGTGAACATTTTAATCACCTTTAATTGTAGAAATGTCAAGTGAAAATTTAAAGATACTTACAGAATATAAATCAGAACGTAACGTAACAAAACATAATCTAAATAGAACATGCGTTTTACTGTTTTGAGAAGTAAAGCTGTTTCACGTTAGATTTGTGACAATCAACATCTGCCTCCATTAGTACACTATACTCCTACAACACGTCAATGG